TGTACTATCCAATGGCGATTATATTGCCAAGGTGTGCGTAGAGGGTTGCCTATATAATTTTAAAACCTACCTCCAGCATGTGTGTCACGGCAAAGACTACATATGTGACCAGTCATAAGGCTCGATTTTATTAGATTTATTGAGATTTCTTTATTGATATTTTTGGCTATTGCTACAAATATACCCCAGCGACTTAAGACTGCTTTTGTGCTCCAGGCTCACATAAAATGTAAAAAGGTCTTACTAAATTAAAAAAAATTTCTGTTGATTGACCAGTTACAGTGTCGAGGGTCATGTCACAAACCAATTTTTCTTGACATTTACTTTTTTGACACATTGATCTATATTGCATCACGAGTTCAATATCCTTGAGAAACTACATTGTAATTTTTATTAATTGGTAACAAATTTCATTTCACCCTTTTGTTTGCTCACAGCAGTTATAGAAAATGAATTCATTTGAACTTCGATATTTTAAAGTTAAACCAAAGAGACAAAAACTCTTTACTATAGGCTAATTAATGTCACATTTTGCTTGGTCGTTTAAAAGCGTTGAACTACATGTGTTGAAGGGGGCTGGAAATTCATTCGGATTCAACATTGCATAAATGGCACTTACCTGTACGATAATTAACTGCGTTGATGCATCAATCTTTTATTTGCACACCTTGCCTTCTGCTCTTATCGCCTCCAAACAAGCATATGCTACATGTGAAAAAGTTGAAGTGAAACTATCCTAAAATAGTAGTGCAACCTGTTTCGGTTGAGCAGTAACCAGAACTGAAGCCCCTTAAAATGAGTTACAAAAGCCAATATTGTGTCTAAAATGTAAGTCACTTAATATTAAGTTTTCATAATTGATTGACATGGCTGCAGGAAGTGATGAGACCAAAACCAACACATCCAATGCAAGTAAGCTTTGACTATTAATTTTACTGAATATTATTTTATTTATCCATTATATTAGAGAACTTTTTGAGGGAAATAGGTTTTTATTGATTGAGACTTCATTGTTTGCAGATGTTTACGACCCCGTTGTATTGATTGCAATATTGAGGTGTTCAATTTTATTTCTATTTTACAAAATGAACATGATTGTTCTCCTCATAAATCAGCTGTTTCTTGTTGCAATATTTCATTAATCCCTAAAAAAATGTAACTAATTGCGTTAGTTACTTTTTATGGAAAGTAACGCGTGACGTTACTTTTTCTCATCTGGGCTTGTTTGTTTTTAATACAAAACAAAAGTTCTATTTTTGGCAAATGTAAAAAGCCCTTTCACACCAAAAGTGAAATGAATAAGCGTCAGGCTGAAGGAAATGTAAATTCACGTCTGTACAGTAGAGGGCGCAACTCAAACCTTTCAGCTGTGCTGCCATTCTGGATTGCATGAAGAATAGGACACGGGAGCAGAACGTTCAACACTTTCTTCTCAATCACCAAAAAAAAACAACAACAACAAAAAAATATATATATTAAAAAAAAAATTCTAGTCATTTTTCCTTATTATTATGGTTGAATTGGATCATCGAAGGTCAGCAGTAAAATAGGAATAAAATGGGATTAAATACATAGAGCATATTTGTGTTAACATATTCATATTTAGTGTAGAACTGCAGAAATGTTCACACAGCGCAACACGAAAGCTGTCAGCAAATACATGGGGAAACAAAGTAACTGGCATTACTTATTTGAAAAAGTAACTCATATATTTTCTTGTACATTAAAAAGTAATGCCTTACTTTACAAGTTACTTGAAAAAAGTAATCTGATTACGTAACTCACATTTCTTGTAATGCGTTACACCCAACACTGATACCCCCGTCCCCATAGAAGAGGTGTTAGATACTGTATGAATTAAGTGCACATTTGGGCCGCATTGTGCTAATATTTCCACATAGTGAGGTAGATATGTGGGGGCGTGTTAGAACGAGCCGTTTTAGGGGGGCGTGGCAGAGTCTTAACTTTGATAAAGAATATCTCTTTGGTTTTGAGACTTTAGTCTTTGCAACTTCAGGGATCTTATCTATGCACAATCAGCTTGTAACACTCCAAAGAGAAAGGAAAACTTGAAATCGCATCATATGACCCCTTTAAAGCCTATTATTTTTGAGTGAATTTAAAGCTCAGATAAAGAACCATGTATCATTCTACATTTCTCAGTAAGCTTTCCTGGGCAGAAAAAAACAGTTGCTCCTTAAATGTAGAATGAGTTCTGTAAGTATTTTTAGATGCTGAGAAAAAAAATATTACAATTACTCTTTAAAATTTAATTTAAAAAAAAATTATTATTATAGTTAATAATTCATGAGGTTCTGAATTCTAGTTGAATAATGAGACTGACGATAAACAACAGACACAGGATACCGATAATGACTTGGAACACAAATATGTATTTCTTACTATGAGTTTAAATGTGAAACGGCGGGTCTGGAGAGTGTCCTAATGACACATCAGGAGCTGTACAGCAGTGGAGCACTGGAGCAGCTGTGAACAGAGAGAGATGTCATCCTACAATTGCACTTCTTCAGAGGAAAGCTGAACACATGATTAAAACCCCCACACACAGTGCAGGACGTCTCAGTGAGGATCTAACGAGATAGAAATTAAACGGACATTTTAATAAGGCATCAGAAATCATTGGCAGGCTGTGACATGTTTTCATGCAATGGTGAGAAACTAACAGCGGATGCACTCACTACAACGCCTTCCCCTAACTCGACAGGACCTGCTATTTCTTAGGGTCTTTCTGGAGGAAAGTGCGTCAGTGTGCAGAAGGTGAGGATGGACTGTGCTCAGTAGAGTGTGTTGATATGGTTACATATGCGTTAAGGCACAGTGAAGGACTCAAACAGCGACATACGGGTCTACTAATGGCAGAGATCATCTCTGTCACTGTGACTACACTGTTTTTGGCTTTTTCTTTTCTTTTTTTTTTTTACATCTGACATTCTGCTGTTTCTTTTTTTAATCTACTCACATAAAATAAAAATCTTTAAAACTTAAAAAAAAAAAAAAAAAACTACATTTAAAGAAAATAAAACATTCAGATCTGCGCAGGCGAATCGAATTCAACAAAATACACGAGAATGATTTTACGGATGATTTTGTGTTTGATGAATGAGGTCCAAATGAGATCAAACGTAAGAAACTAGAGGTCCGTTCGCATTAGAATATTAGTGTACTACATACTATGCTGGACACTGCTTGTTTTAAAAACAGTATGGAAAACAGCATGCATTGTGCAAATGTATTCTGCTACATTGTTGTCACGTGATTTATCTCAGCGAGTTTAATTCAAGAAGTCATATCCAGTTTTATCTAGGTAATAAAAATGGTCTTTTTTAATGCAGTCTATAGAAATATCTTAACTTTTTAGTGTTAATGTATATATTGCGAGTCTGTTATACAGCAGAATCGGTATTTGGTAGTATGCTATTCAGCATAGCATACTAGCGTACTTCAGCAACATATTTCTGTAGTTTGCACATAGACGTTTTCAGTATGCACTAAATACCTGGATGATTCATTTGGAGTTTTGAGTTCGGAACCGCATACTAGAATACTACTTTTACTACTTCATGTCTATATGTGCCAGAAATGGTAAGAATAGTACGTATGGCATGCAGGAAAAAAATAGTAGGCTAAATCATGTGCACGATTTACTATTTCGTTCCCTCGATTTATAAATTGTGTGCACGATTTACTAATTCGTTCCCTTGATTTGCTAAATCCTGCACAAGATTTATAAATCAAGAGAACGTATTAGTAAATTGTGCGCACGATTTAGCAAATCGAGGGAACGAAATAGTAATCATGTGCACGTTTTAGTACATCGAGGGAACAAATTAGTAAATCGTGCACACGATTGATTTATTTTTTATTGCATGTCATGTGCGGGGCTCCGTAGAATAGTATGGCAGGGTCCGGTTCCAAATTTGCAATGCAGTATACAACCGGAGTACGCTGAATGATGTATCCCACAATGCATCATGCTTGACTTCACCGTCCATTTCCGTGACAGATTAAATCAGATTTTTAAACGTCTTTTTGAATTAGTATTTACTCAGACTTCCAAAAGTCACATTTTAACTCTTAATTTTTTAAAAACAGTTTGTTTTTTTAAACAATTTATATCCGAGATGAAATCTGGACTTTGCCGAATTAAACGCATGGTGAGGTCATGTGAAAATGTAGTACACTACATGAAATGTTACAGCATACCGTGTAGTATGCAGTAGGATAGCTTTCCATTCCACACACTGCTCAGGTCTTTGCTGACATCCGTCTCCTATATGTTGTAAGCAGAGATGTAGGGCACTGAAATATGTAGTATGCAGTAGCACTGAGATGCCAGCAGAGGCCGCTGCCGCTCTTGTTGTGAAGTTCATGTTCAGAACAATGAGTCGAGGGAAAATACAGTGTACACATGCTGGTCACTGGTGCGTTTTGAAGGGATAGTTCACCCAAAAAAGACGATTCTGTCATCATATTGACAGACTAGTAATTTTTGAAACACAAATGAAGATATTTTTAATGAAATCTGAGAGGTTTTCTTCCTTACATTGAAAGTCAAGGTAACCAAAACTGAAAAGATA